GTGTTGCTGCCAGATGGGCTGGGCTGAGAATTTCTGAAACTGCTGATTTACTGGGATTTCACTCACAAACAGAAAAGAGAGAAAAAAGAAAGTAAAGAGAAAATGCCTTGTTGAGGTAAGAGGAAAACGGCTGGTTCGAGGCAACAGTATCTCAAATAACCACTCGCTACAATCGAGATCTGCAGAAGAGCATCTCTGAACACGTCGAACCTTGAGGCAGATGGGCTACAGAAGACCACCTCAAGGGCCTCTCCTGTCAGCTAAGAACAGGAAACTGAGGTCACCAAAATTGGTCAATTGAAGATTTGAAAAACGTTGCCTGGTCTGTGTCATTCGGATGCTAAGGTCAGAATTTGGCATCAACTGTTCAGGCTGGTGGTGGTGGTTTAATGGTTTGGGGGGTGTTTTCTTTAATGTTAGCCTCAGTGATTATTGTTGTTGATCATGTCTATCTCTTTATAACCAGAGTGTCCCTGTCTTCCGATGGCCACTTCTAGCATTACAACACTTCATGAAGCGTGAATCATCTCAGACTGATTTCTTGAACATGACAATGAGTTCACTGTACTCAAATGGCTCCACAATGATCAGATCTCAAAGGGGGATTCGCTTCACAAATCTGCTGGAACCATGCTATCATGTATAGGATGCAATCAAGTACTTTGTTGATCTATGCCACGAAGGATTAAGGCAGTTCTAAAGGCCAAAGGTGTACCTAAGATGCTATTCTGGACACTTAAAAAAAGAATTGTGCTCAGAATTGGAGCTTGTCGCTGTGGTATTGTCCGGCTTTTTCGGATAACAGCACAAGGGGAAAGCATTACTTGTAAAGAGCAGAGCAGTTAATCATTAAACCTGAATCAGATCCTCCCAAATCTCTCTTTGCTGTTAGATCTTCTTAATTATGCGGCGCTTCACTCACTGCTCTCTTCAAAACATTTGCAAGCCTCATTAGTGTCAAAATTATTGAAATGGCCAATCAATTAAAAGAAGGCAGGGTTGCTACTCATGAGTGTTGGATTATTGAGTTGCATTTTAACAATGTTCACAAAGGTATTTTATTTCAAGCTTTGCATAGGATTAGATTATTGCATGGTGCAATAACGGCAAACAGAGCTCAATGATCATTTACATTTACATTTTGTATTTAGCAGACGCTTTTATCCAAAGCGACTTACATTGGGAGTAAACATCAAGCAGTTTGGTACAAAGTGGATTGATCAGAAGACCTACACATAGAACACTTTCAAGCTAGTACAGAAAGGGAATTCAAATCAGTGCTTCAGAGTTTTTTTTTTTTGTTTGTTTAAAGTTAAATAAGTAAGTGCTTATGTTAAGTTAGTAAGTAAGTAGGTTAGGTTAGTAAGTGCTCTCGAAAGAGTAGAGTTTTTAGTTGCTTTTTGAAGGCGTAAAGATCAAACAGAAAAAAACAACAAATGCCGTTCTTTAGGTTTTCTGTGCAATATTTGGAGACTGTCCTCGCTGCAGCCGACAGAGCGACAGCCCGCAACAAATACGCGGTAATGAATGTTGAAATACGCATGCGCGATGACGTATTCAACGCTATTGAGTACGTAACAACTGTTCATACGCGTGCGCAGGACACGCACGCAACTGTGTGCAACGATGCGCAACTACGCAGGGCGACGCGAGTTCGAATCCCGAGCTCGACGTTGTTTGCCATCCCCGCCCCCCTCTCTCCCCCGAACCTCCTGTCTCTCTTCACTGTCCTATCAACTGACAATAAAGGCTTCTGCAAAAAATAAAAATAAAAACACTGTTCATACGCGCATGCGCGGTGACGGATTTTGAAACGCGCATGCGCAGTGACGGATTTTGAAACGCGCATACCCCGCGATTACATTTTAAAGTCTATGGTTGAACCCAGAGATATTTTATAATTAGACAAGTGTTCTTTGAAAAGACATAACAATTATGTTGACACGAAATACTTTGACGAACCCGATTCGTTTGATCACTTGTTTTAGAATTGCAGAAATACAGCAGTTTGTGAAATTTGATTTTAAGTTATTGTATCGTATAATGTTCACATTAATATTGTTGTTCTAATGCTATTTATCTCTTTATTTTATGTACATTTTATTTTATATCGTTGACGACTTTTTTCTATGTTATAATTAATTACGTTTCAATGTTCTTAATGATCAGTACATGTGTAGGGTTTGTGTTGTTTTTTTTATTTCCCTATGTATTTATAGTCATTCCAAATCAACTGTGCGCGTGCGTGTGTGCGTGCGTGTACTTATTTTAATGAATCTTATAATACAAATATATACAGGCATAAACTCATGTATTTATTTTCAGCAAATTTTTGTACTGATCTATACAATGTATTAACATAATTAATATAGTATAGAATAGAATAAAAATATGACATATTCACATATATGTCACTAGTTACGTCTACTGCATTTGATACTTAAAATTGACGTGCATCATATAGATTGTGAAACAACAAACCGATAAGTAAAGATGACAAATACGTTTAATTAAGAAAGCAACCGTTTAGCAAACGAAATCACTTTACCAAATAAAGCTTTGTAACATACATTACAGCGCTGAAATGTGTTGAACATTTGTTACGTAGTCGTGCTGTCGGCTGCAGCGAGGACTTCTTGAATTTTGGGGCAAAACGGAAAGTGGTGGTAATGTGAGCGACGCACCCGGTGAGAACTGATTACTGTCCCTGTCACTAATGAGCTGCTGCAGTGCTATTGTCAGCGCTCAGACTGAGGACTCACTCAAGGCATTCTGCACCTCATTAACAGTAATAAGTGCTATCTGCCACCTTCTTTGTCAGCAGGGTAAGCAATCAATAGGGTCATTTCACATCATAACAGCTACTGGGGCACATTACTATCTTGTTCATGGCGGGAATAGGAGCCATTAAGAGCTGGCGTACATTAGATTAGAGGAGGTGACAGATGGGGAGAATTATATTCGAGTAAGAGATGGATCAATAAATGCATAAGTCCCTGAACGATATGTGGCAATTGGTGCCTGCGTGCGGTTCCATGCCCTGTTGCCCCTTGCTGCGTGATGCCAGTGTGTTTGCACAGCGCTGTCATCACAAAACAACTCTGATCAGAGCTAATTACACACTGCAGAGGCTGAACAGATGCACACACCACTGTAATTACAGGAAAGCCACACTTTAATATTTTATGGAAATGGACTTCTGCATGGAACCCCAACGAGTCTGACTTTGAAGGGGAAACCCTGGCATGTAATTCTGATGCTAGCATTAAGCTTTTGACTGCTCTCCACTGAGGCCAACTATTCTCGGCTTAGTGAAATGATACATCAATTTGGTTAGTGGATGTTGGGGCGAGGGACTGCTGTGCTGTGTGAATGCAGAAATGCCCTTCTATCTGCCGTGATCAACAATAGACAGGGTTTTCTCGACTTCCTTTTTTTGGAAAATCTGTCACTCTCCAGGGTCCTCGGGTACAAAGACTTGCATGAAATTCATACTAAAACATTGTGTAGAGACAAAGCTGCGAATGTGCCTACACACCAAACTATTCAAATGGAACTCTGACGCAGATACTCTTTGTACCTCCCAAACATCTAGAACACTCCACATAGTCTCCTAGCTGATTTAAATATGTTTACGAACGTGCTTCAATTAAAAGGAGACAGCCGTGAGATGACAAAAGCATCAAAATGAATTTTACATTTACATTTATGTATTTAGCAGACGAGATAAGAGATACAAATGCTTCGAGTTTCGAAATGTTTATGTTACGAAAGGTCTCGCGGGAAATTTTTGCTTTGAGATACAAAATAAAAATTCGAGATACGAATAATAACAAACAGTTCTGCTCTATTATCTGCTTGTTAGGTCTGACGTCGCACTGCACTTCCGGGTTCTGGCGCTCCATTGGCACAAATGCAAAAAGAAATTGGGTCTAATACGCCTTAAAACACTTTAAATCAGCTTTAAATCGAGCGAAACATTACATATAGATTACCAATAATGTACTATAACAAATGTTAGAGTGAGAGCGTCCTACAAGAAATAACGTTTATAACGTGGAAAGTGGTGTTCTGTAGCGCAACTTAGAGAAACTCTGTGATGCGCTCTCAGAAGCATCTCTCCAGTACGCTCCGTACTGTCTACACTTGTGCTTGAAACCGTGTTGGTGTCAGTAATTTGTGAAATATCTCGAGAAAGTTAACTTACATACGCAGTGCCGTAATGTTTTCTTCCATCCATTCCACCTCCTCCGACACATCTCTTCAGTCAAGGAAAGGTTTCACATTTGTGAACATATTACGTATATTTTACTTGTGTTTTATTCTGTTTTATTATCATTTATTACATTAACAATGTGTAGATTTAAGGATTGAAGAAACGTTACTTGATTTTTCTCTGGTTTTCCATTTTTTTCATCTACTTATTCTGTTGTTTCTGAGAGCCGTTGCAGGGATTAGATGTTTTACATGTAAAACTTGCTTCGAGATACGAAATGTTTGAGATACGAACGTCACCCTGGAACGGATTCATTTCGCATCTTGGGGTACCACTGTACTGAATTGGTGGTGCCGTTAGTAAAGATGCTCAGCTCATGCAAAGAGACATTTACCATAAAAGAACTTTATTTTATAGAATGTAGATTTGATATTTTATTTTGCACCACACAGTGAATTCAGTCCATACCCTCTGTTTGAAAAGTTGGTGCTCTAATGACTAAGCTATCCAGGCTTAAGATCTTGGTTCTTCACGATGGCCACTTGGTATGATGAGGGTTAATTAAAAGTTAGTTACCAGATTGTAGATTTGCAAGTGATTGGCAAAGTTTTTATCCGTCCATACAAGGACTTGAACCCTGGAGCCTCAGATCAAAAGTCAGATGCTCTATCGACTGAGCTATCCGGTATCTCTAAGTGTCCACCGAAGAGACATGTAGCTCTTGGTTTGTTGAGTTTACCATGAAAGATTTGACAGAAGTTGCCAAATGTTTTTTAGCACTATCAGGGCCTAGAAAATAGTAAAAAAAAAAAGGGGTTTAATTTGAAAATTTGTGCCCCATATTAATAAAATTTGAGAGCCGATGTCAAAGTTGTGGGTTCTGAACACCACTGAGGACTGTGATGGTAGATATTCGGGTGTAAGTTAAAGAGAGAGAGGCTCCTCATCGGAAAATAGTGAGAGAATTATACCAGTGCTGAGAAAATTATGTCAGTTCCGTTTCTCACACAATACGGGTGCACCGCATTTGACCACCTTCTCCCCTCTCTCTCATTCACTTCCAATCTGTCAGTAAGTACATACTTTTTTGTGTACATTTGTATTATTGCCATTTTATCATCACAATCACATGCCGAGTCTGAATGGTTTAGAAATCTTGATTTCATTGCCTACAGTGAACTACGTGGAGAAACATTCTCACATTCACAGCACTGTTATTACTACTGAATATGAACATAAAAGCTGTTTGTAAAGGGAGTTAACTGCCAGGAGGAAGTTGCCAGGATTCACTTCAGACCCAGAGCTCAGCCAGCAGTCACCACCATCTCTAAAAGCGATGCCTGTACCCAGCATAGACAAGAGCCAATCCCAACAGGAACTCAGTGTGGAACCTAAACTTTATATCTGACCTTGTGTGTGTGTGAGACGGTGGACTGTGTTCGAACCATTCTTCCCATGCGTCCCCCTATCATTTCTCCACTGCTCCTCCACTGGTCCTATCCCTGCTAGTCTCCATTCTCTGATTTTTCCTGACAGCTCCTTGGTTAGCGATTACCCACGGCCACGCATTTGCACTCTATATATGTCCATCCCTCCAGTTTCCAATCTTTATCTGAAGCATCCAGATAAAGAGAGTACATCAGAGAGTGTGGGGATCCTCCAGTGTTGGTCATCCCAGTTTGGTCATGTTGTCTGGAACTATTCCAACTATTCCCCTCATCTGAATCGGGCTCTATTAGTCCCTGTGGCTCCACTGGACTCCCACATTGGCCATGCTTTCTCCTTCCTCTTAATGTGCTAGAAATGCTGCTCTGATTGTACTGAATGCAACTTCTCCTTCACTTCTCCTGGTCTTAGGGCCCCTTTTGGTTCCCATTCTCTTGGCCTCTTTCTGTGAAAAGGGTTTAAGTTTTTCTGAGATGCATTGATCCCCGTTAGCTGTGTTGTGTGTAAACACTGTGACGGAGTGCGGGCTGATCAGCGTTGCCAGGTGCTATTAATGGATGAACACCGCGAGAGCCACTGACCAGGTCTGGAGTGTCGCTGAGTCACCGTGGCTCGGCTGGATTCCATCTGGAGGAGTGTAATCAGGCACTGGACCGCCAATATTTTGACAAAGAGTCAACGACAGGGCGCATGGATCCAGTATGGCCAGAGCTCAGAGCATGGCGGATGCACCATCACGGTGGGA